GGAAGTGATTTATAGCCCTACTGTCTGAGCCAAACTTGCTGCTGGCCTGCAAAGCTGACCCAAGACTAGATTAACTGTCACAGGAATCCACAGTATCATCTGTTCCTGTTAGCATTACACAAAGCATGGATCCCCACACCATCTCCTCAGCATCCTCATCTAAAATTATGTTTCCTGCACAAATTATTTTAAAGGGCTAAACAAGTCTGACTTACTGTACTTCGGATATTAAAGCTAAAATGAAAGTTTTAAGGCTTTTTCTCAATTTGCGACCAGTAAATCATTAAGTTGACCTTAAGCACCTCGGTGGATGTAAGATGAATTCTTGTTAACATGTTAACATGACCCATATGCACACACTACCAAAAACGTCCTTGGCAGAGGTTGTGATGTTAGTTGATTACTGCTCAAGGAGGAAAAGGGAAATATAAAGTGGAAGAGAACAAGACTTTCTCAAGGACTAATTACATCTGAATATGAGGAAAAAACAAAGTGTATTTACACTTCCTAAACTTTGTGTAGGGAGGTTTATGTGAGGGTTGTTAATATGGTTCTGGTCAGACAATAAGGAGTTTTCTCAGCATACACAGCGCATCATGTCATAATATTTCATTGCAAAGTCCTCAGATAAATGCGGTATCATACTAATCTTAACAACAACAAAAAAACAAAACCGAAAAACAAACAAACAAAAAAAACATTTTCACTCACAGGAACTCCTTGATCCCCTTGTAGCCCTGTTGGCCCACCTGGTCCTGGAGCTCCTGGTGCTCCTGGTGCTCCCTGAGAAAGGTGCAGATGGAGAACAAAGATGGCTGAAAGCTGAGGGATCAAGTGGATTTTTCACACAAAATCACAGTGGAACTAATAAGAAAACAGACTTACAACTGGTCCTGGGGGTCCTTGTTGTCCCTGTGGTCCAGTATTACCTGGCAGACCCTGCATGAGTGAAATACAGTACACTTATTAAAGTCGGCTGCACTCTTTTAATTCCTGTGGGCTTCTCCGGGAACCCAAACGCTGTTGCATCTGCAGCTTCTGCTGCTGTAACTGCACACACCAAATCAAATCTACTTTCATTTTATACAAAACACAGTTTTATTATTTTTCACTCTCTTTTACTTTTATACACCGCTCTGCATTTAATCATAAGTTATTATTCATCCCTGACTCACTTCAACACTGCGTCTTTTGTCTATCCTCACCCCTTACTGCCAACCGGTCCTGACAGATGGCCCCGCCCCTCCCTGAGCCTGGTTCTGCTGGTGGTTTCTTCCTGTGAAAAGGGATTTTTTTCTTCCCACTGTTACCAAGTGCTCGCTTATAGCTGCAGGATCTTAACCTTACAATATAAACCTTTAGGTGATTGTTATTGTGATTTTAAATGCACCTCTACCACTTCATGCATGATACATTTATGTACTATGCGGTGATTCTTTTTCAAAAGCACAGTTTTTACATCAGAAGCACACTGAAATTGTGTAGGCCAATTTTCTGAATGCCCGCATATAATAACATGATTTTAAATGACATGATGGTGGACTTGTTTTATGTCAAAATATAGTTGTAATT